AAGGACCTTAAGCATAGATGTGATAAGCACAAATTCCTAACATCATGACAACCAGAGACTACAGAGTCTTACTACCTTCTCCCTATTCCTAGGGTGTGCAAGCAGTGTCACCATAGCCATGTCAACTTGGAGCTTATGTTTCCCCATCTTAATTTCCCCCTAAACTCTCTGCAAGTGGATAATAAACTAATATCCCATCATCCTTATTTGCAATTGGCTAATATCAAACCATAATACTAACAACTGAAAGATAATTATTCTTTAACTTCATCAGTTGCCTTCAATGGAATTGCCAAAATATATATCAGTGCATGAGTATTGTACTGTTTTCACTAATACAGATAGAGAGAATTTAATGTTTGAATTTCCTTGAATATATATATATATATATATATATATATATATATATATTGATGTTATTTTAGTTAAAAATCACAGCCTACATAAGCTCTTGCCACTAACAAATCTGAAAAGGGTCAACTAAATGCATCTTTAACCCCGGATTCAGAAAGGCTGTTCCTCAGTTACAAGCCACAAAATGAAGGGCGCATCCGCTTATTGAATTCTAATCAAGACACATATTTCCGAACATGGATTACAAATTAAAAAAAGGTCCATCTCTTACATTTATTTAATTATTAGAATCATATATTATATGTCAAAGAATAACTAAAAGCAAGTAAACCTCATTAATTTTACACAACATAGCTATTATCTGACTCAAGATAATTGTAAAACAAAAATCCTTTATATCAGAAAGTTCAGATTTCTCCAGGTTTAACGGAAAAAATATAGGTGGCACACTTGATTAATATCAGTGCCTGCTTCCATGCCTATCAAATAGAAGTGAACATGTACATAGTTATGGTATTATAAGGTCAGGTAACAATTAAGTTGGTTTAGCCAAATACTTTACAATTCAATCTACCTTATCTTACAACTATATATCACCTAAAACATACCTTGATATTCTTTGTTCCTAGTAGGGCATGCTTTTAAGTTAGAAAGATGGGACCACAAGAGAGTTCCCATTCGAAATCTCTTCTAAAAGCTTACACGTTCAAGATCATAGCACTGCTGGTTCAGAAGTAAAAACAGAGAGATTATTAACAGTAAATTTTTCTTCTCCACAATTTTAGTTGTGATTCTTTCACTTATTCATCCTAGTAATTAGTTCTTTAAACTAATCAACTTCATAATAAGATATCAGGACAGATATCAAAGGAAATATTAATTACTTTCTTTTAACAACAACCAACTACTGTTCTGAAAAGATTCAGAAGATCAACCAACCTATATGGTGGATAAGGAAACCCTTGTTGGTAGCCAAAAGGAACTGATGATTGATGAGCAGGACTTCCGACATATGGCCCTCGTGGAACCAACACACCTCCAATGTTGGGGCCTGCTGACCTTGGGCGCACTAAAAAAGAAAGTCCGACAAACAAACCGACGTCCATGTTACAAGTGGCTAGCATGTCGTAGCAGCATGGCAACAATAGAAAAGGAAAAACATCAAGAATGGATATAATACATTTTCCTTCAGATTCTTAAAGTTCAATATTTTTGTCTTTTATATTATCTTTTTTTTTGTAGGGAGGATTTGGTGGACTAGAAAAATAAATTAATTCATTCTATAAGTCAAAAAAATGTTCTGAATGTTTCACAGACAGGTATCTATTTGGTAAGTATTTTATGTGGAAGGAAACATAAGGACTTCCTTGTGAGGGCAAATCAATTGTTATAGACCAAAAGAAGCAGGTCTATATAGATTGGGAAAGGCCGTAGATGAAAAAGTGAAACAACCATAATGAAGTAGTCAAAAGCATTTAAATGATTCCCATATGGACAACTAGTATTTCAAGCATGCTCAGAGAAATGCAGGCGGCGAAAGCAAAGCTAAAAGAAACCACCCGTGGTTTGCTCCAAAGCTTGGTGGTCAGTGACATGAGTACTTGTGCCGACATATGCTGATCAACATGATAATCCCTGGTTTGCTCGTATTACATCATTAGTAATAAGTACTGAAATTTTGAATTCATCCACTTAATCTAACTTCTGCAAAGAAGAAAGATGCCAAATTGGCAAATCTGAAAGCAAAGAGAAAAATATAATAGTCCTATAGATTACAAAATGCACCATTGCAGAAGACCTATCTTCCTCCTAATTCAGAAGGAAAGAAAGGATATCTAAAATAATTAGGAGTTCCCACAACTTCAACATTCTTGTTTGTCCATCATCAAATATATATAACTTTCTACCCAGTGTTGCATTAAACCATTTGATGTTGATTTAATTGTTTTCCTATCTCTGTGATATGGTTTAGCATTTTCCAAAACATAAACTCGACCTAAAAATTTATTTGCATTTTTATGTCTCTATCGAGTCCAAGTAACCAATACACGAACAATTAAAAAGAACCTGATGCTTATGTAAAGTCCAGGCCTTTCGCAACTCCATTAAGACTAAGGCACAAAGTAAAGATACAATAAAGTTTGTTGATGATTTTACAAGCTGCAAAACCAGGTGGTAGATATAGTTTAAGGCACTTGCAAAATAACATGCTTGACCACATCATGTCTGAAGCCCTCTTAGAAACTGGATAAAGATATGGGTTATGGTTACAAGTTACAACACAACAGGGATACAACAATCTTAAAATGTTAGGACAAAGTACCACACAGAAACATCAATTAAAATATATGTATATTATGAATACTTCCTCCTGAGATAATATAAATATTATAAATATTAGCCGACAAACATTTTTCTATTACAATCATAATATAGATGTTTTCTTCATGTGTGATGTGTCTACTACCTTCTAGTACTTTTATCTCCGGATTTTACAATTCTATATGTTGTTTTTTTTCCTAGCAATTTTTAAGAAATTAACTCATCCAAATTAATCAAGCTACTAACTCATGATAAAAGATAATAAAGAACTACAACTTCCTACAAGCAGTCATGGATCTATGGTTGATCTTTATGAGCTTGTGATACAACAGCAGAGATGATATAGCAAGAGAAGTGACTCACTAACAGCGACATCATAACAACAGCAGCAACCCAACAGTAGTTGTCTTCTCCTTCCCTCTTTGTTTCTCTCTTCTACTTCATCCTCTTTTATTTTTCCTTATTCTCTTTCTAATGCCTTTTCCATACATGCTGATGCTCAAAAGAATATATATATATATATATGGCACATATTCCAGCCATGATATGCCTTTAAGACTAACACAGTAACTTTCAACTGTTTTTGTTTGCATTGGATTAGTTTTACAATGCCAATAGGAACCCATGAAACAACGAAACTAGGTTCTTTGTAAAAGTAGAACATATTAAGAAAAATTATCTTCAAATTCATAGCCCATAATTAATAAGCTAAGGATAACTCCGAATCTCCAATATCAGTGTACCATAAAGATTACATGCAATGACGAACTTCAGATTTGTTCATAGGTTTGTCATTCTTTCATATGCAACTTGTGTTGTATGTTTCAAATGTACTATTCATTATTGCACTGATCTCACTATAAAAGCATTCCAGTTTGAAGTGAATTCTTTTATAATAACAGTGGCCAAGAGATCCTACGACTTACTCTTGGAAACCAACAATGAACTTTGCAACTTCAGGAGCATTAAATAAAGTATAAGGCTGACACATTGGATAGGTCGAAGACCTCTCCTGAAGATGATAGATAAGCCTGATTGTGACAATTGAAAAAGAAAAGGTTCTAGAGTGCAGCAGTACGGATGACAAACAAAGAATTGGATGGACGACAAGGAGCAATTCGACAGATTTGAGGCACCACCAAATATTCAGATGCAATTTTTGATGATTCTACCATAATCAGAAACTATAGGGCAATACCACCAAACTGTAGAGCAGGGCGAGGCCGCCCAAGTGAAGCCAAGTTGCAGTTCGCCCGCCGGCCATCGATAACAGGGCTCGGGTCAACACATGCCCTCTTTGCAGATTCCGATTGTCGAAAAGTAACCTAATGCCAACGACCAAGTCAACACCATAACCAACGATTCAGCAGTCACCCCAACAAACACGGAAGTAACAACTGAAAAGATCAAAATCCTTCCTCGATCTCGATTCTTTAAAGGAGCAATCTTCATCACTTCACACGATTAAAGAACCATGAAATACTCACGAATCCATAACCTTTGGACCGCCCGGTGTTCTTGTCCGTGATCACCACGGCCTCGAGGATCTCTCCGAACTGCTCGAAGTGGCGGCGCAGCGTCTCGCTCTTGGTCTCCCACGCGAGGCCCCCGACGAAGACCTTCGTCAACGTCGTGTCCCCGAAAGGGGAATTTAGGAAGTGGAACCCGGAGCTGGAGCTCGAGGCCGATCCGGAGGCCGACCCAGGCCCCGGATGGTGAAAAGCCATCGAGCAAACCCCCAGAAGGAACCGAAATCGCAGCCAAGAAGAGGAGAATTGGAAGGAAGAATCGGGCAGAGGGGTGGGTGGGGTGATCAACCGTGGAAACCCTAGCTGGCGCTCGTAAAAACCCTAGCTTTATGGGTTCCAAGCAGAGACCAGATCAAAAAAAGCGATCTTCGCTTAAGATTTGAAGGAATCCCGAGGAAAGATGGAAGAAACAGAGAGGAGGTGTGGGATGGGAGTCCGACTCTGGCAGCAACCGCTGGCCTTCCACGAAGAACACTTGTGCCAAATCATTACTACTGCTCCTAATAATAATAATAATAATAATAATATTATTATTATTATTATTATTATTATTAGAAAAAGAAATTGGGATAGGTCAGCAGAAATTATATACAGATATTGGATCCTTAAAACCCTAACTTTTGTATCCTTGTGGTGTGATTTGGGATCACTCCATTCTGCTAACTACTCTCTTATCTCCAACCGTGTTTAGCAATTCCACTTTCTTGGTGATGAAGCCAGCCATCCACTATTGTTATAAGCTTCCTTCTTTTCATCAATTGCTTCACCCATTCTCAACCTTAAATTGTATATTAATTAAAAAAGTTGGTTGTGCCTCCTCCCTGTATTCAGCTACTTAATTCACAGAGTACTCTATGAATTATCCCTTGAACTGTGGAACCTTAATAATTAATCGTAAAAGATGTTGAAACCGAAGCCAAATCTTTTGTTAATAATCCTCGTCTCAAAATTACATTATGCAGTGATTGATTGTAATGTGTTGTACGCCTTTTAATTCAATATACGTCAGAATGAGGTTCCGCTATTGATAATAGTAGAATCAAAAGTCGGCTGGGAACTCATGGAGCTTGATTTTAGCGTGGATGCTCATTAGCCGGAGAATGATCTCTTCTCTTCCACAGTTGTGAAACATTCTTCTCCTCTTCAAGAAAATGATATTTTTTTAGATTAATTATTTCCTAACACTCATTTCAGCTAATATGATGCCATTACCTGAGTGTTACACTTGATGTTTAGCTCCACACTGAATGCAAAGAGGTTAACTACGAAACCTCACCTATCGCATTTGATTAGGTGGTGACAAATAATGTGATCTAACATTGAGCATTTGTATGGTTAAAAGACATATCATAACTGATTGGACCTCGAGGATGTTAAATATTAAATGGGAGAGATAGTGATGTTCGAATTTAATCATGTATTAGATAGATGCTAGAGATTATATCATAAGAGGATTTTAATGTGATCTAACGCGAGTTTGAAAATTTATAAATAATATACTTGTTTAACGTTAACTATGACTTATGATAAGCAGATAAGATTTCCTCATGCATTTCATAGTTTCTTCTACAATTTCTATATTTCTATCTTCTTCGTTTAATTCTTAACATGGTATCAGAGCGTTCTTCCTTGCGGATGTAGGCAGCTCTGTCGAAGCCTTCTACTACTCATCTTTTCTATTCAATTGGAAATGGCAATGTTGCTGCTTACCTCTCCTCCGGCGTCGTTACTTCCTGTTCCAAAGTCAAAGACTGCTCGACCACCTCCTGCCCTCACAAGAACCTCGCCTACACTATCGTGGTGGTCGTCGTCCTCGCAACTACTCATCGGCCAGTGACCTCTCCTCCTCGTTCCCACATCTCACTCGAGCGAGAAGTGCTGTTGCTGCCATCCTTGCCGCTCAACCTCGTCGAGGTGCTCGACGCCGACACTACTTACCCTATTTCGCAGTGTTCTCCTACCTGACCTGGCAGTCGCTTGACATTTCCTCTACCTCGGTGCACCTCGGCAACAAAGCAATCATTGTAATCCAAAGTAACAAAGCAATCACCTCCTACCATAGCTATCATTGCCTTCTTGCGGCAACAGGAACGATTGTAATTTTTATAGCTTCCATCTGCAGTCGCTTCCCTCTGCCATAGCAATTTCTCTGCCACAACAATCTTTACTGCCACAGCAAGCTTCAGTAGTTTATATCGCTATTGTCTCATCGTTGCATCGTTGCAGCCTCCTCTGCAGCTTCCTCGCCCATCGTTGCAGCCTCCTCTACAGTGCATCACTACAACCTCCTTTGCAGTTCATCGCTACAACCTCCTTTGCAGTTCATCGCTGCAGCCTCCTTTGTAGCGCATCGGTCTGCTTTTCTCCTCCTCCCTCCCTCCTATATCTTTACATCTTCTGTAAAGATCACTTAAACCACAACAAGATATCTGGGATGTCTTCATTTTCCTCTTCCGATATTCTTGTCCCTATTTCTGTAGGGACTCTGAGCACTTCTCAAAGTCTTATCACCATCAATGTTGTAGCACTTATTCCCTTCAAATTATCCAAAGGCAGCAACTATGCATCTTGGAGGGCACAACTTTCTAATCTTCTATTTGGCTATGATCTCCTAGGTTACATTGATGGCTCTCTCCAGTGTCCACCTAAAATAATCAACATCCCAGGCGAACCCAGTCCAGTACCAAATCCAGCCCACAAACTATGGTTACGTCAAGATCGCATCATCCTCCAAGCTATTCAAAGCTTCCGTTGCTGGATCCATTGCCCCGTTGATATCCTTATGTACGACTACTGTAGAAGCATGGTGTAAGTTACAAACAACTTTGGCAAATCGCTCGTGTACTCGCATGCTTGGACTTTTCTCCAATTTGATGAAAACGAAACAAGAGGGAAGTACTATTGCTGATTATCTACAACATATCAAAATTATCATCGCTGACTTAACTTTGATAGGTCATTCTCTTAGTGATGAAGAAGTCTTAATCCATACCCTCAATGGCCTAGGAGGTGAGTATAAAGAACTGATAACAGCACTTCGGGCACGCGACTTACCAATATCATTCGAAGAACTTTATGATAAGTTGATCGACTATGAGACGTACTTGAAGCGTGATGATAGTTGCCCGGACCACCTATTACAGCTCAGGTCAATCAAAAATCCAAGAGGAAGAGCAACCAATACAATAAGCACGTCAACAATGAACTGGCTAAGCTGCCTCCTA